AAAACTAGCATTTTTTTGTCCAGCCAGAAGAATCATGGAAAGTCAATTATGGCCAGCTCGCCATGAATGTAGATTAGATGTCTGCGACACAATCCACCAGAAGGGTTGTGAATAAGCTTTTACTATTTCGAATTTCTTTTATGATTAGTTGACTCATTTAACTCTACGGATTTGGTTTTTGGAATGGTTGAAAACTGTAGTCGTCATTTAATGCCATAAATGTCATGGGACATTTCGGTTCTATACTGTACAACATAACACACACCGAACATTGACTTTTCTTATAAATTTTCGAGCAGCTATCAGCATATTTGAAATCACCTATAAATGCGTACACACGTATTATATGAGCAAAAGAAGTTAATTTCGTTAGACATGTTCGTTCGCGTAGGAAAATATATTTGCGAGAAAGGATAGCAGTAACGCACTCAAACACATAGCATATTGCAAAGTTGAAATGTGCGTACACATAGGGTGTATTGATAATGGTAAAAGTACGATATTTACATGCAAATAGATAATTTCTATAGTTAAAAATTTGTTATGCCATTTGAGCCGAAAAGATGGTCCGAATGTTTTTATGAACATTTTGGATTTTTCATTGAAATTGGCACTAAAATAGCAGCAAATGACTGATTTCTCACGTATGAATACGAATAAGAAAAGCTCCCAAAGTCGTAACTGGAGTTTCATTCACGTTAGAATGATAATAAACGGAAAAATATCCATTTGATACATATATCCGAGGTGGGAACCCTAAATTTTTTATAATAAGAATCATCTATTCACATCAATTTCCATTGGCTAGGGACATGTAAATTTGACACTTTTACATTTATCGATGCACCCTATCGTACATAATATGCATGCGATTCAATGAAATCAAACGAATGAATTGTGAAGCTGCAAAATGAAAATCATATTTATTGTTCTTTTGTTCATCGCAAAGCGCTTTACTTTATTTGATTATTGTGTATGGATGCGGATGTGTGTTTCTGTGTGAAGATCCCCCGATTTCACTTTCACATCAGTAGTTAAAAACAAAGCAAAAAAATAAAATAAAACAAGCATGTGCCTTTGCTACCAGTCGAAAAGTTACACTCAACATCACTTCGAGCTAATAACTAATACTCTCGCTGCTGGCCCCCAAAAATAATAATGTGTGGCGTTAAACAGTACTGTGCATGCATGCAAGTGATCCCCATTGGAGCAAAAATATTTTGCGTTTGTCGGTATAATTCTTGAAATAAGCGACAGAGAAAAAAAATGTATGGAACATCAACCATTACACACTTGGGGCAATGTTACATAGTTACAACACACAAATGTTTGGAAATTCTAGCCATCTATTTGCTTCCATTTCATTGTGGCGCACAGGGAGCACCGAATGGAAAGTACAAGGTTTTCGATAAAATAATGATTTAGTAAGGCGAACGCGAACCCATTCGCTACTATGTGAAACTAACAAACAAATAAAGAAAAATAAGCAATAAGTGTTTGAGCACAAGAGTGAGTGAGAGAGTACATGACGAAGACAAAAAAAAAAAACAAATAATCATCGCCAACCGCGCAATAGTTTGCAGTTCGCTGTAATTACACGGTGTTGGTAAATGCAATGTGTTTGCAAAATTCATTCGCTTCTCAATGCGTGGGGTGAAAGAATTAAAATCGCCCGTCAATCGTTAAGCTCAGCAAATACGAATGCCAAAACAAGTTATAATTACTACAACGAATGCACAATGGGTATTCCAATAAGCGATGCGAATTTCCTTTTTATGCGTACTGTGCAAATCTAGCCGTCCATTTAAGAGAAAAAGCAAATAAAAATAAGTAAGCGACAGCAAGAATGCGCGGACGAAATAAGTGTGATGAAAAACCAGATAAAGAAATGAGGGAATGAGAAGAATAGCATATTTTTCACATAACTTGGATATTGTGACCAGTTATGGTGAACTCAGTAACACTATCACCATCAGCTACCACCAATATCGATGCCAACTCCATCAAATCAAAACCAATACATATAAATATACAGTGCGTCGGACGTCGAACGCCATCGCATTCAATACAACAATAATAATACTTATTCCTTAATGGTATAACTACCGTCAATCTTGCTCAATTGAGCGTATTATATTTTTCCATTGGAAATATTATGCGAATAAAAAAATACACGCATTTGGTAATGACAGCGCGTCTAGGTACTCGGCACTCTTTACGATGTCTACATGGTACATATTTATATATAACTGGCTAATAAGAAGTGGCTAGAAGAAATACCAAATGCAAAAGGAAGGATAAAATAATCGTACTCAACACACAGAACGGAAATGGAGTAAAATCAAAACAATTCGGAAGTATTTTCAATTTCGATGAGCACACTTTTTTCCGTTTTGGCTAAGCTATTCTTTATTGCTTTAATCCATTTATGAGGAGGCGCGCGCGAGAAAGTACAAGCAAAAAATAACGAACAAAAATACATAGCCCATTCACTAAAAATCTCTTCATGATTTTTTTTCTCAAAGAAATTCGATTTCGGATTTCGAGAAAAAAAAACAAGAGAGAAAATGAATCATAGTTGAAGCATAGCCAACAAACAAAAATGTAATGTTTTTTAATTCATTTTAACGTTGAAAAATGTAATGTTTTGGCCCACTTTAGTGGTAATTTTTGAAAGAAAATTGTATGCAAAAGAGTTATATATTTCAATTGAATATTTCCATTTGTTTTATTTACTGGTGTGAGACTTGATGTCGGAATTGAACTTTAAAGCATTTTTATAAACAATAATCGCATCGCATACATAAACATTTCTCTTTTCGATTGTGTTTACATAAAACGTTTCGACAGACTCTGTGTGATAGCTATGTGTGTTCGTTGATTAACAGTATGCTTCGTAAGCAATAACAGCATTTGATACAACGTATTGATTATTCATATGCATTTCTGTCTACATAAACATTATGTATCACTCTGTGTATTCACTCAGATTTTTCTTAATTTGCTTGTGTCAGCAAAATTCAAATTTCAACCGAAAATCACATATCTTTCTTTGTTTATAATTTGACATTTCTCGCCGACGTTCATTTTGCTTGTTACTTCAAATGTGTACGGTGCATTGTGTTGATTAGTTTCAATCGTAACATTTCAGAAGGAGTTGTTTTGTAAATCAGAACACAATATATTCTGATGGTGAAATGAAAGTGACTAAATAAATCGTTTTCTTCGACAACACAAATAAAATCTCATTTTCATATCAAAACGTTTGAAAAACAGTTTCTGTTCATTTTCAAGATTGTGCTTCAAACCAAGAGTGCTATTATGCTATTTTACAAATAATATTTTCATACGGTGATTTACATTTCGATTTTGATCATCGGCCATTTTTAATAAACGTTTACTTTTGTCGATTCAACAATAATTCCCTATAAATTCGGGTGCATTTTTGAGGTGATTCCACAGTTTAGTAAAGAATTTCACAGCAGTAAGCGTCTCTTTGACCGCTCTATATTTGTATATATATTTTTCAAATGAAAAAGTGTTTTAATTAAATTTATGCAATTATTTAATCTCTCTCGCTAGCCTTGTGTTCCAATTGTCGACCATTGCATCGTGAATACAACATTTTCGAACGCGCTTTTTGTCATTTTGCAGTGAATGTGACAGTGTTGTTGGTAAGTACTCAAAAACGAACCATTTTTCTTGATTTTTTTTGAAGTGATCAATGGACTGTGTGTCATGAATTTGACAATTTTTTCGTGTTTTTTTTCTGAACAGATTTAATTTTCATTACAATGAAGAGGAGACGTGCAAAAATAAATTCAGCCTTTAAGAAAAATACGGCAAAATTGAACGACAATGAAGAGTTGCGATCGATAAAACTGTCAGCGCCTTCGGTATTCAAGTCTGAATATTCGGAAGCGCTAACAGAGCATTTTTTCCATAAATGCTACAATGGTACAGTAATATGCTACCTAGGTTCGACATTGTTTTTATATGTTGTCAACCTTGCAGCAGATAACGATGATCGGCAATATTTCATTGACAGTGATGGAAAAAATGTTATACGTGAGTGTTTCGTCGCCGTATCACGAGAAAATTTGGAAAATCCAAAACAACCGAAAATACCACGTGGATTCCTTGAAATGATTGCCGATGATCAATTTGAATGGCCAAGTAGGTACCAAATGGGCAACGCATTTGAATACTTGAATCAACAATATTTGTAAAATGTTACGACAAATTTGACAACGCATTTAGATAATATATTGGAGAACTTCTTGCAAATGATTCGCTATAAATTGAACGAAGACCCTAATCGGCTCATAAAATTTTGATGGCATTGACATAAGAAATGCAAAGAACAATCTTATGTTCAATCAAGATTGTACCGGAGGCGATCAACACCGAACGAACAAAATGAATGAGTTGTATGAACAAGTCGCCGTACGCTGTTTACCATCATTTCGCGAACGTTTGTCAATGATTGAATACATCGAGAAAAAGTGGTTTGAATCGTTGTGGTTTTTCATCTTCATTCAACGTGAAATAAGTATATTTTTGGAAGAGCATCACGATCTTGTGCAATTATGGCTACGACACCAACGCCATCCGCTTTTTTATTGCAAACCATCCAAGCCATTGCCACCAAAAATAAGAAATTTCACCGTCATACCGATATGTGACTCGCAGTTGAAACACATTAAATTCGATCAAGTTGATTTGATGAGCCTGCTGGCCCAATGGAAAGTTGTGCCGAAGATATTTAACAATGATCATGGAGGGCATAATATGTATAGCCTTAACTATTACAAGGAGAACGAAGATGAAGCATGGGCCATTTTGTTCAACATGGACAAAATCAACGAGATCAAGAAACCGAACCAACAGTTTCATCACATGATAGTCTGCGATAGCGTTTCCGCGTCGGTATTGTACAGAACACCAAAGCCTGAGATCGAGAATACGGAGCTGCATCGATAAAGAATCAAGCAAAAACTCGAGAACAATGGCATCGATTAACCATGGTGAAAGATGCAGTGGCTGCATATGCTCGGCGACGTTATGCACGGATTTCGTTTGACAAATACATCGGGTCACAAGGTGAGAAAGATTGGCTGGCGAAAGTAATAACAAAGAATGAGCCATCGCTTATAAACATCGGAGCAGTGGATATGGCACCCAATTCACCAATTGGCATAAAAAAGGGAAAACGATGCCCAGGTACACGGCATCTTCAATGCAGCGTTAAAAAACTTGGCCATTCAGATGTACACAAAGTGAATGAAGATTTCACATCTCAACACTGTGCGAATTGCCAGAAGAAATTCCCGATTCAAACAAAAAAATATCGATTCAAAGTGTGCCACTGTACTCGCGATGCACTAATACCACAAGAAATAGAACCGTATATCTCACTACCACGGTTAATTGTGACGAAGAAGAGTCAACGACGCAAAAAGAAAGATAGCTGCGTGAAGAAATTGATCGCAAGAGGCATCATGGATCCAGCAAATCAACCAGCAGAATTTCAACCAGGGCGATTAGAGTCAAAGAAAATGTACTTTCTGAAAAACTGGCTACTAAACTCTGTGAATGCATTCAAATGGGAGGCGACGCTGATAAATATCCGGAACAACAACAACAACAGCAACATCAAAAACGATTTTGCACCGTTTGGCATCGAGACATTGTTGCGGCTACGAGGGTTGCTCCATAATTTTTTTTAAAATGGTACTTATAGTGTTGCCCGATGTAAACCATTGTCATATTCGTAAAGTTTGATGTTTTGGTATGTATTCGTGCCCTGAACCTTTTGTCGTACGAACGCTATTTGTATTGTTTACAGTGACTGGTAAACTGCGACTCAACGAAAAAATGAATTTTACACGTGAAGATTTTCGTAAAATGATTTACTACGATTTTCGTAAATTATCTCAACAACAGTGTTTCGATCGACTTCATTTGGCCTTTGGCAATGAAGCACCAACCCTTCAGACAATTTATAACTGGTACCGAGAATTCCGTTGCGGTCGTAGTTCGCTCAAAGACGAGTTTCATACAGGTCGTCCAAAATCGGCTGTTGTGCCACAAAACATCGATGCTGTCAGAAAACTGATTATGGAAGATCGTCATGTGACCTACCGTGAGATTGAGGCATCTTTGGGCATTTCATCTCACAGCATACATACAATTTTGCATGAACATTTAGCCGTAAAAAAGATTTGCTCTCGTTGGATCCCACATAAATTGACCGATGAACAAAAAATGGCTCGTGTGAGTTGGTGTAAAGAAATGCTCAAGAAATTCAATCGTGGTGCTTCAAAAGACGTTAATAAAATCGTCACTGGTGACGAATCGTGGATATATGCCTATGAGCCCGAAACGAAACAGCAGTCGACTGTATGGGTCTTCCAAAATGAAGATAACCCAACGAAAGTTGTTCGAGCAAGAAGCACTTCGAAGCGAATGGTCGCCTGTTTTTTCGGGAGAAGTGGTCATGTGGCAACCGTTCCACTAGAGGATCGTAAGACCGTCAATTCTGATTGGTATACCACCATTTGTTTGCCCGAAGTGTTTGGTGAAATAAGAAAAAACAACCACCGTCGCAAAATAATTCTTCATCACGATAATGCGAGCTCTCACACATCTTTTCAAACTACTCGATTTTTGACCGGTCAAAACATCGAACTGATGGGTCATCCACCGTACAGTCCTGACCTGGCACCCAATGACTTTTTTTTGTTCCCAAGCGTGAAGAAAAAACTACGTGGTCAACGATTTTCGACACCAGAAGAAGCAGTTGAAGCGTTCAAAACACACGTTTTGGAGATATCAGTTTCGGAGTGGCACGAATGCTATGACAAATGGTTTCATCGAATGCAAAAGTGTATCGATCATCTCGGGGAATATTTTGAAAAACAATAAAACCATTTTCGACAAAAAACAACTGTGTTATATATGTTTTTAAAAAAAATTATGGAGCAACCCTCGTAGATGCATCATGTACAAAGGTAAACACTGTAATTTATTTGGTATATTTTCCAATAATTTAAATTGCCTCTTATTAATTACAGGTCTTTGTTACATATTCAATTTGGAAATGCACAACTCGTATGTCAGAGCACCAGCACCTCCAAGACCACCATTGCGTAGAGGACAACCAGCACGCAGAAGAGCCAATGCAAACGTTGTTCCAGATCAATGATTAAGCAGCGTCGAAATCAAAAAGAAAAAATATAATAACTCTGGTAGTTAGTAGCAAAGCTTGTATTTTGTGGCTTTGGTGATTGTGTATAGTACACATTGTCTAAATGTGTAATTGTACACAGTTCAGTACAGATTTATCTGTAGGTAAGTATTATTTTATCAAATGTTAAAAATGAATTTAATTTGGATGTGGCGCTCAGTTAAATAACATTCGAAAAAAATCCATTTTCGCCGATAGAAATATGGCTCTATAGATTTTAGCTAACTTTTTCTTTCTCCTTCTTTTTCTTCCACTGGTGACGTTGAAAATGACTGAAACTACACACAAATCCGGCCACAAAATTGACCGTCAACATATGCCCGATAATGGATGAATTTGCCCCAACAATTGTTTATTGATATAGCCATTGATATTGTTGTATAGATACGTACGCACTCAAAGATTCGATTTTTGCTGTTTCTGGTATGGTTCGAAAAATAAAATGTATTGCATATCTCGCACGCCTTCAATCAACGGATCCAATGCAGTCCGTTGCCGCCTTTGCCATCTAGGTCATTTATGATTATTGATATGAGTCAAGTAATTAACGAGGTCTGTTGAACGTTGTCGAAACAAAAAAAAACGCACACAAAACACATTCAAACGGAGAGTTTAAAAGAGTCGAAATGAAATGGAATTATGATTCAGTCACTCCTTTTTCATATCTTGCCTGTTAATTCTATGAAAACGAATCAACAACTAACAATTTCGAGGCTATTTCCCGGGAATCGAATTGAATACTACATTGAAACCCATAAAATAACAAGCAAAATCAAACAAAACAAACTAGAAGTAATACGATTTGAACACAATTCCATTAAAGCGTCAGAGCTCTAATTAACTATATTAAGGATTTCAAAATGTGAAGACTCTCTTAATGGTAGGTGGCTGTTTCTGGTTTCCTTGATTCTTTATGCCTTTCTTCTCCCTTCGTCGATTATTATTTCTTCTTTTTTAATAATTGAAAGCGTATTTGTTGCCTGATTATTTTTTTTTTATATTTGTTGATAAAAATGCATGCTCACGATAATAAAAACTGATTCGCTTTATTTCGTGTGTTTTTTTAAACATGGTACTTGTCCTTTATGATACTGATTTGAACGCAAAATTATTTTTGAAAGCAAACGGCTGTAAAAACTTATTGTGACATACACATAAATATGAGTGTGTTAAGTACACGAGTAAAGAAAAACACGAACATAAAAAATTCCATCTCACTATTAGCATACGTTGGTACAACAAGAACCACAACAACAGCACAAGTGTCAGAATATTCAGGCACCTTTAGGTGCCTATAGGCTGTCGATGGTCTTTTACAACAGTGATATATGGATATATTATGCATACTGCGGCGACATAAATGATGTCGATAAAACTGGATTTGATTTAACTTGCAATGGTATCCATTTCATTTCGCTTAATTATTTGAAAATTAATGGGAAAAAAAAGAAGAAGAAGAGGAAGTAGCAAGACCCGCTGTGCTTTCACTCATTGTACTCATCGCAATCAAGGCTTGAAACGAGGCACATCATTTGAACTGTTACTTATTATTCTTTCTGTCTTCGTAGCTTGTTACAATGGAATACATCAATTTTGTGTAACACATTCTATTTTTCATGTGTTTTCCACACATCCATTTTTCGCGAGCTTGAATACAATTTTCTTGTTCCGTTGTGCTATCTCTTTACACTTTATCGGTTTTCTTTGTCTCCATTTTCTCTTAAATAAGTTAGGTGAAGATGAAATTCAGGTGCGGAGCTTGTATGAGAGCACGCTAATTTGTTTATAAATAAAATTAGAAGCGTTCGAAAAGTGAAACACTTGTATTTACATGACAGAGCACCGTATGCGATATTGCTGTGAGTCTTTTGTATTCATTAAAACATGGATTTATTCGTTATAACGTTGTCATTCATTAATTCTCAAGTTCATCGTGTTATCCATGGTCGTGTATGTGTATGTGTGCACAATGTACATTCCTTTGGTGATTAATCATGTTTTTCACCTTTTTTTAATACAATATATTCGAGCATATGCGTATGCTGTCGTGTATGTGTCAAGCAGTCACTAGCAGTGGTTATCGTTTTTCGGCTGGCGCTTTGAAGTGTACCAAGATTGGCTTCATTTTGGCCAAAATGGTGAGGCGGACAATCTATATAAATAAAATTGGGAAAGACGGAAGAAAATGGCTCTTCATGCACATTTATATTACTCAAACCATTAACGAAACGCTATAATTTATAATGAAACAATCAAAACATTCAAATGTAGACGGTAAGCCAAAAAGTACATACAATCAAAACAGAGACAAACAATGTTGTGAAAATCACATCAGGCCTTTATTTACCCCATCCATGCTGACACGATAAAGCCGTGCAAATCACAAGCTCAGATCAATGAATGAGTATACGGTTTGTTCGTTCTCTTTTCAGTCTAAATGAAAATTGTCCAGATACGCAGCGATGAATCAACATGTAGAAAAATATGTATATATATTTGATGAGATGTAGTGCCTCTGATGGTGCTGAACTATGCCACCCAAAATTGGAATTCTTGGTAATTTTGATATTAGGATTTGATATGAATGTGTCTGTGTGTGATTATTCCAATCAATATGTTAAAATCCATTTCATTTTGTTCGTGATTTTGGCTGTTTTCGTTCATTGAACGCCCAAGTGATTTAGTTGTGTGTGTGCGGGCGAGCGTATGTGTGTGTGTGTGTTTATGATGAGAACAAAAGACTGAATAAAAAAAAATTATCACATTATTTTTCAGTGCAGCAGCAAAAAAACCGAATCAGTATTTCATCAATTGCCAATTTTTTTAACGTAAAAGCGACGGGGGAAGGTACGTCGGCGTTTTATGTCTAACCGTCATCAATGTGAATACAATAAACTAAGTATCATTTCCTCGATCAACATTGAAATTTCAAATTAATTCCGTACACATACAATTTGTTGTTATTGTTGTTGTTTCGCAAGTGAAATCACCTTGGGCTCAGATGGCAAACGAATACAATGACAACCGAGATCCGACCGAAACTTCGATCATGTATACAATATTCTTTGTCAGCCATTGTTTTGTTTGGCATCCCATTTTCCATATTTAATTTACATCATATGGCGCCATATTCGATTGGTTTTTGGCTGCAACAACGTCAATTTAATTTCGTTTATCGATTTAATTTCAACGACAAAAACTTTTGAACGAAATTTAAAATCTACCGCATAAGACAAGTAAACAGAAAGACATTCTATAGGATGCCAAAGACATGCTTTGGCAAGAGACACATGAGTGACAAGAAGCATAGAATATACAAAAATGTATAAAGATTTATATAGATATATAGATTTGCGGGCATAGAAACTCTACTGGATAACTTTGTGGAAAACGAAAAGAAAAACAAAATTGTTGCTTACAAAACAGTGAAAACAATTAAAATGTGCGAGTCTATTTTGAAAATCACATCTCATTATTGAAGATTTTCATGCGCTCAATAATAATAACAACAGTTATAGTAAAAACAATAATGATAATACAACACACCACGATATAGAAACATTGCCATTTCAAATTTACATACCAATACCAATTATTTATTTATTCGCTGTGTGTGTGTTTATTTATTTGTTTTCCTTGAGAATCGAAACACCTTCGAATACTTTTCTTGTCCAAAATACCATACACATTTCTCTCGCGCAAACACTCTCTATCTGCCTTAGCCAAGCGATGAATTTTTTTTATCACAAAAGCACATTGTTTTGAAAATTGAAAACGGATGAGCATCGGCTCAAACTCTGCTAAATACAGATACACACTATGATATACAATTTTTTTTTTAATGCTGAAGATTAATTCACCACGCGCATTATTTTTAATCTTTTCGTCTCTTGCTTACTTTGTTTTCTCGTTCGGTTTTGTTTTCGTTCTTTTTAAATGTTTTATTTTTTACGATTTTTTATTAATGCTATTTTGCGTAATTCGCGAAAAATTGATAACGATATTGTTTGTATATAATTCGTTTTTTTTCATCTATTTGATTGAAATTTATACACAATGTGCTTTCATTTTGTGTTGGTGTTTGTTTCACAAAAATAAATTTGAGTACTTGATAAATTCATTCCTATTCAGATTGACACCAAGCGTTTTTTTTTCGTGTGTTTATATGTCGACGAACGAAAAATAAAATTAAATGAAATGAAGGAAAACAGTTTAGTGTACGTTACTCTAATTTACTCTTCTATCTGTCTTTTTTTCTGTTTCTAATAGTCTTTTCCCTTTTCTGTTTGATTATCGCGAATGGAAAATGTATTTATGTATGGATATGAAATGTATTCAGTATTTGCTTGCGATCCCGAACACAGCTCGATAAGAACTGAAATCAGAGCGCATATTTTTGTGTGTTTTCTAAAAGGGGCAGAAAATTCTTCGTTCAACTTCAGTCACGTAGTACGCGCTATATGTTGACGCACTGATAAAAAAGCAAAAAAACAACTTACCATTCTCCCTATCTCTCTCTCTCTCCCTCTCTTACACTCTCTAGTCTTACACTCACTCTCTCTCTCTCTCTCTCTCTCTCTCTCTCTCTCTCTCTCTCTCTGTGGTGCGATAAGGAATATTGGAGAGCTTTTACGTGTGTTGTGATAATATTAAGCTCGAGTTGGACGAGCGCGTTATAGTACGTACGATGATATTAAGTGACATTTAGCTCAACAAATGTGTTTGTGTGTGAGAGAAAGAAAATGTCCAAAAGCAATGTAAAAAAATGAGATAGCTTTAGATTGGAGATGTGGTCGGAATATCGTTTTGAAGCTTTTAGTGGAATATGGATAAAATGAGCTTGCTGCGTACAACAATGTTTCTGTTACGCAGGGGAAAATTGTTGCAACATTTTGTCGCTTCATAATCACTGTAGCTTTTCCAATTTCTAATATTGCTTCGGTACGAACGGGTTCGGCATTTACAATATACTAGACGAGTGTGTATGGTGTTTACATTCGAAACGCCTCACATATTTCGGAACCAAAAAAAGTAGCACCAGAACACTTCATACATTGTACACACTACACACATCGTTTGAGAAATACGTGTTAAATACTTGACTGATAATAGTCTTTGTTTTTATTTTTCATTCTCAATTCTCTCATTCTCTCCATTTTACCGTCGAATAATGAATGAATGACAATTTATCGAAGCAGAGAAGACAGAGCCTTTTTGATGAATCGAACACAGTAGATAAAGAGACAGAAAAATATAATATACCATCGAGAAATTTTTTTCGCTTGGGACGTTCCGTTGTCAATATTTACATCTAATGAATATTGAATTCCCCTAACTCAATTATCCTCTTTGTTTGTGAAATTATCCTTTGTAAACTCGAACGCTCGATAATACAGAACGAAAGTTTAAAATTCGACAATATTTCAACATGGCCAGCAATAGAAAAAATGTCAAAGAGAAGTGATTATGCGAGCGAAAAAACACAATGACGCGAACATTGCAAACATAATTCAAAATGAATATAGTATAATATAGAATTTTACATTGTTAAGGTGCCGGATGCATTAGAAGTCACGTGTTTCATTCTTTTGTTACAACATATTTCGATTCCCATTGTTGAAGATTTAATATTTTTGAAAGACGAAGAGTGAGATAGAGACAGCAAAAAGATTAAACATGATGAACGAAAAACAAGCACAAACGTCACTTTTCCTCAACTAGAATTTATGATTGATTTGAATAGGTTTCTTTCAATTCTTCTGAATGCTTTCGAAATTCCGAACTGATGCTCATTGTTTGACGGTTTTGGAACAAATTTTATGCTTGTCAACCTAATTCTTGAGAAGGATTGAAGAAAACAACACAAATACACACATAAACTCTTTCACAACATAATAATCACTATGTGAATATGATAAGCGAAATTGAGCATTTCATCATCACATCCTCTTTGTATTGTCATCAACATACAAAACACCGATATGTAGGTACCAAATGAATCCATCACACTTTTGCGATGAATGATTTTTATGTAAATTATTGTGATTCTTCATCAATATCAGAATGAAGAATTTACAGTTGGCAGAAGGGGGAGAAAAACCAACAAAAACCACTAGCCGTGAACAGACATTATAATGAGATATTTTCAGCCAGATGAATCAGCTCAGCCAGATATCGTCAGGAGCTGAAATGGAGTGAAAACAGTAAAAAATTGATTGTTATAGTGATTGTAGCCATAACAATCTATTCTAGTGTTTTCACTAAATTTCAGCTCCTGACGATATCTGACTCATTATAATGTCGTGAATGAAGAAAAAAAAAACCAATAAACAAACAATAGTAATCAACATTTCAAAAACTTATGTAATGCTACTATTAATTCAGGCATCAACAATTAAAATCGTTGAAATTGATTGCTGATTACATATTGCATCAAAAAGCACATTTGCATTCATCACATGCGACAATAATTAAACATTATTGTGCATTTCAAACGAACCGAGTAAAATATTCAAAACGGTTATAAACAATCTGTGTATATGTGTGTGTGTCAGACATTATATTGAGATATTTTCAGGCAGATGATTCAACTCAGTAAGCTAACGTCAGGCGATGTAATGAAGCGAAGACAATAGGAGTGATTTTTATTGTGATGGACACAATGGAATGGAGTTTAAAGAATAACTTCTATTGTGTTCACTTCATTTCGGCGCCTGACGTTAACTTCCTGAACTGAATCAGCTGCCTGAAAATATCTCAATATAATGGTTTGGTGTGTGTTTAATAAAAAAAAATATGTCACTATTATCACATGTCTTTGTGATCACGCGTATGCTAATTAACTTCAACTGTAATCAGAACAATAAAACGAAAAAAAACTAATCAAAGCTGTTGCATGCATTTCATCAGGGGAATTGTAGTAAATGGCACAATATATGGTTTGGTGACATATAAAAGCATTGTACGATACAACACATTTTGTGCTAGCGATCGTTGTCTTTCATTATCTGTAATATGGTAATTTGTTGGTTAGAATATCAATTCAACAGATAGTTATTACATAATTTTAAAGTTTTCAAACATAAACCAGTAAATGAAAATCGAAATTCCGTATTATATTAAAAAGTGGAAATGCAATCGATGTCGAACGACATTTATTATGATAATTACAATCATCATAAACTATTCATAAATTTGGAAATTTGAACAGAACTGAGTACGTAGGCGACTATTTAAGTTTCTTCAATATGTATGTTTTAGTATTGCCCGATGCAAACCATTGTCATATTCGTGAAGTTGGACATTTTTCATGACCATTTGACTTAACAGGACGAATTTTTGTTTTGTGATATGGCGACGACAGCAGCTTAAACATGACACTCCAAAAAGTACACTTTTTTGAATATGCACCTAATTTCAAGTACGAAAAATATATTGTATCCAACTGTTTTTAGTCTCTGGTGGACAGAGTGGTCCCGAATAATTCGTACACGGAGTATTGTGCATCAATTCCATCTTTTGGGTAATCAAATAGTCGACTGTTTGATGGGCTTCTTTTTGCCATGTTTTGGGATTATAAGTTTCAGAGTTTTGGTCTCCATATTCCCGTGATGACTTTTGACAATCAAATGGTTGTGTACTATTCAGCATTGAAGGACCTTTCATCCTCTAAAGGCATGGTAGCAACATGACACATAACACTGTAAAATAATGAGGTCCGATTTTCCCTATCATTTCACAAACGAACAACTTTTGTTCGATTGTGTTCATGTTTGAAGACTCAGAGAGTCAACCAAGTTTTTGTTTCAGGTCCAAACTACTGGAATCATGTCTTGGCTTCTATTGCGATCGTATAGACGTGTTTTTATTATCCTATGTCAAATTGGTTATGATTTTTTGGATGTGATTAAAATCAATCGATTTTTGAGCAACTGTGGGTTGACACGTAAAGATTTATTTTTTTCATGTTGTAATTCATGGAAGAACCAAATGATTGGAGTCTCTGTGATCCTTGGGCATACCACAATTTAACTGTAAAAGAAACTTCGATCCTAACTCAATCGGCACCAAAGTTTTTCTCGATGACATCAATTTTCGAAGGACCATCGCGCAATTGATCACTGTAGCGAGCACCATGACGATGGGATTCAGTGAACCAGTTGTATACAGTGGCAAGGCATGGTACTTCCTTCCCATACCCCGACTTGAGTCGGAAGTAATACTGTTGAGCAGGCAGCTCTTTTTGAAAACTTATGAGAAATAATCTTTTTTGTAAATTTCATTTTTTTGCGAAGTTGACCTTTTCCAACTGACACCGTGGCCATACCACAAAACTAAAATTCGTCCTGTTAAGTCAAATGGTCATGAAAAATGTCCAACTTTACGAATATGACAATGGTTTGCATCGGGCAATACTAAAACATACATATTGAAGAAACTTAAATAGTCGCCCTCGTATAAACCAAATCTATTAAAAATTTATATTTCATGAAATGAAATGTGTGATCGCTAAAAAAAATGGCACGGAAATTGAAAACAAACACTTTTTCGAAAATTGGATTGGTTTTTTTGTCCTTGTGTATATCGTCCACATATTGGTGCAATACATGCACACCGCTTTTTTATCTCTTTTAATTTGATAGTCATAATTGTATGCATACTCAATGAAGTGTTGAAGTTTCATATATGATGTGCCATGGAAAGTGGCCGATGTGATATTAAATAAATGCGTTCAACCACAAACACCGGAAAAAACATATGTATATTTAGTCATAAAACCGCATGCTAATTATTCACAAGTAAAGCCAAAATGCACACACTTTAACATTAATTTCGAAAAATTGAGATTCGTATTCTGTCAATGATAATTATAGTACGTTCGAAGAGTGTCGCATTGCATTTCGATGAAATAGAAATTGAAAATTTGATTTTAAACTGACATAAATGCCTCTTGATTTGAAGCATATTCGCCAAAGTGGTAAAACAGAGAAATTCTCTCAAATATTCATGTGCGTTTGCCTACCGTTTCGAATTTAAAATCGATAAATGGTGGTAAAACGAAAATCAATTTCCTATTTTCAAAAGAGAATATTGAATGGAACGTTTCCTTGTCTTAAATGGTAACCAATACATGATTTGCAATTGAATGTATGTTGAACAGTCGTTCTCAATGGATTCGATAATTAGCATATCTTATATGAACTGCTTTTCATGCATAAAACTAATTCAATAGAATGGGATACAGTGTAATTTTCGGATCTTGCACATTAATGTAAATTATACAATACATGTGCAACAAGTATAGTTTAACATTCATTCAGCTATGAATTTCAATAGTTGGCCTTGATACATGTTTCATA